TCTCCCTTCAAAAATTTGAACAAATTAGTACTTCAGACTTTGCAGAGAACTTTTGGGACATTCTTGATATTCAAGCTTGTAATGTGAATCACTTCAGTCCAGACTGATGTTCTGATGCATTGTTGTCTTGAGGTGTCATCTTGATACCTGATCAGATTGTACCTGTTTTAATTTCTAAAAAAGAATTTCTCTCATTACTCTTCAAAAAAAAAAGAAGACCACTCCATATGTTAGGAACTTTTCAAATTTGTCACTCCTACAATACCAATGCAGTTCCTTCTCCGCACTTCGGTAAAATATCTCGAAGAAGTAGAGCAAAGGGTTCTGGTTGAAAGAGGCAAACTGGCGGCAAGGAAAAGAGGGGGGAGCAGTCAAAAAGAAACAGAGAATTGCTGAGATTGACTTGGGGGCTAAATGATAAGGCGGGGAGTAGTGGGGGATCTTCAAGGAGCACTGCAATTAAAAGATCGAAGTCACAAATAGTGCTACTGCAAGAAATTAAATTGGAAGTGGCAGAGGCAGAAGTAGTGAGGAGTGTGTGGGGGAGGGCCAAGTAAGATGGAAGGCAAAAGCAGCTAGGGGTACTGCGGGGGGCTTATTGACTCTCTGGAATCCTCTGATTTGTAATCTGATTTCCTTTAAAGTTGGGCAATTTTCAATTTCAGTAGTTCTGGAATCTGTGGATGGGAAGCAATTCCAGATAATCAATGTCTATGGACCTTCAGTTGCTGGGTTGCACACAAATTTCTGGGCAGAATTGGCTGATATGAGAGGCTCTTTAGTGTGTCCGTGGGTAATAGGTGGTGATTCCAATGCTACTCTTTCTTCAGAGGAAAGGAATTCAAGAAATAGAAGATCCAGGGAGATGAGTTTGTTTGCTGAATTTATTAATAATTTTGAGCTGCTGAATCTTCCTTTAATAGGAGCTCAGTTTACCTGGGCAAATAATCAAGAAATTCCCTCACTAGTTAGGCTGGACGGATTTCTTGTTTCGTCAAATTGGGAGGAAATTTACCCGGATTTTAAACAGCTGGCCCTCCCTAGACCAGTTTCAGATCACACTCCAATTCAGCTTATTTGTAGGAATAGGGAAAAGGTAAAGACTCCTTTCAAATTTGAGAACTCTTGGTTTGAATAAGTTGGTTTTTTATCTTTGCTAGAATCAGTGTGGAATGATTTCTGGGTGGAGGGTACTAGCTCATTTGTCCTTGCGAAGAAGTTGGGAGCAATTAAGGATAAGGTCAAGAACCGGAAGGCAGAACAAGGTGCAGATTTTGAAGCGGAGAAAAATAACTACTTGAAAATAATTTCAGAAATTGATAAGGAAGAAGAGGGAGGTCTAATTTCGGAAGAATTGAGATTGAGGAGAATTCAGGCCAAAACTAAATTTGATAAGGTGATGGTGAAAGAAGAGATTAAATGGAGACAGAGAGCTAAGATAACCTGGCTAAGGCTAGGTGATAGAAATTCCCATTTCTTTCACAAAATGGCCAATGCCCGTATGAGAGTGTCTTCAATTAGAAAGCTGGAATGGGAGGATAAAGTAGGGGATTCAGTAGTTGAAATCAAGTCAGTAGCTACAGCTTTCTACAAAAATCTATATAAAGAAAAATGGGACAAGAGACCTTTTCCTCTAGATTTACCCTTCAAGAAGCTGAGTTCAGAGCAGAAGATGTTCCTTGAGAGACCTTTTTCAGAAGAAGAAATCAAATCAGCAATCTGGAATCTAGAAGGGGACAAATCTCCTGGGCCGGATGGTTTGTCTAATTTGTTTTATATTAAATGTTGGGAATTTCATTAAGTCTGATCTGTTAAAGGTGTTTCAAGATTTTCACAGAAATGCTTCTTTACACAGAAGTCTTAATGCTACCTTCATCTCCTTAGTCCCTAAAGTGGAAGGGGCCACAAACATCAGGGACTTTAGGCCCATCAGCCTTCTAAATAGCTTCTACAAGATTCTCGGAAAGGTGTTAGAAGAGAGAATGAAGCAGGTGCTAAGCAGTGCTATTTCTAATAATCAGTTTGCTTTTGTGCCAGGGAGACAAATGCTGGATTCTGTCTTGATTGCAAATGAGCTTATTGACTCAACATTAAGGGAGGGTTCCCCAGAGCTGATTGTAAAGCTGGATATTGAAAAAGCATATGACCATGTTAACTGGAGGTGTCTGGATCAGGTTCTAGAGAAAATGAGCTTTGGTCAGAAATGGAGAAATTGGATAAAAGTTTGTGTTTCTTCTCCCAAATTCTCGGTGCTGATTAATGGGCAGTCAGTAGAGTTTTCTGATAGTACGAGGGATCTTAGACAGGGGGACCCACTATCTCCGCTGCTCTTTATCTGTATATCAGAAATCCTGACCCAATTCTCTTTAAAGGCGGCAGCAAATGGCTTGTGGGATGGTTTTGCAATTGCTCCGGAAGCGGAAAAAGTTAATCTATTGCAGTTTGCTGATGACACTCTCTGTTTCCTTGATGCCTCTTTTGACCAGGTGGATGTTCTACTTGGTATTCTTTGTTGGTTTGAAGTTGTTTCAGGCCTAAAAGTTAACCTTCATAAAAGTAAGATAACCCCGGTGGGCCTTGTTCCTAATATGGATTCTTTTGCTAGAGTGATGGCCTGCCAGGTGGAACTTGCCAGGTAAATACCTTGGCCTCCCACTAGGTGCCAAATGTTTTTCTTCTTCTTTATGGGATCTAGTAATTGAGAGAGTGGAGAAAAAATTGGCATTATGGAAGGCAAAATATTTGTCTATAGGAGGGAGAGTGGTCCTTATCAAGAGTACCCTTGCCAACCTCCCTACCTACTTCATGTCCATGTTTCCTATGCCATTCAAAATTGCAAAGAAGCTTGAGAAGATGCAGAGAGATTTTCTCTAGAGAGGGTGGGAAGAAGAGAAGAAGATGCACCTTGTGAATTGGGATCAAGTTTGTCTTCCTAAGGCAGAGGGTGGATTAGGTCTTAGAAGACTATAGGTGGTAAATTTGGCTTTATTAAGTAAATGGTGTTGGAGTTTTGCAACAGAAAGATCCTCTTGGTGGAGGATCTTAATTGCAACAGAATTTGGTGTGGATCGGGGTAATTGGGAATCTCAGGATCCATACACAACATGGGGTTGTTCGGTTTGGAAAGGGATTCTAAAATCTTTTCCTATGATGCATGAGGGAGTGAGACTTAAAGTGGGAAGTGGAAATAGGCTGAAATTCTGGAAAGATCCCTAGTGCATGGACAGACCTTTAGCTGAGGCGTTTCCCCTTCTGTTTCAATGTGCAGTTAATCAAGAAATTTCAGTGGCAGAGTCCTATGTGATTTCTAACAACTCAGTGATCTGGAATCCTCAATTCCGAAGAGATTTATTTGATTCGGAAATAGAAGGTGTGATGCAACTTCTGCAAATTTTACAGGAGCAAGCGATAGACATTGTAGGTGAAGACGAGTGGAGTTGGTCCTGGAGTAAGGATGGCTGCTTCTCAGTCAAATCCCTGACCTTGAAGCTTAGTAGTATGGGTAGTACTAAATTCCCCTACCAGCAAGTATGGAAGTCCTGTGCTCCCTCGAAGTCTGTATTCCTTGTTTGGACTATGGTGCTGAACAAATGTCTCTCAAGACTCAACCTGGACAGAAGGGGCATTCAGCTCCCTTCTCTGATGTGTGGGTTGTGTGCTTTGTTGCCCGAGTCCACCGACCATCTGTGCTTACATTGTCCTATCTCCTCAAAAGTCTGGTATCATTTCATTGGAGCAGCTGGTCTTAATTGGGTGATGCCAAAGTCAGTTAAAGATCTGATGCTTTGCTGGAATCTCCAAGGTTTGAAGAAAAAAGGGAGGTTAATTTGGAGAACTATTCCTGCGGCAGTGATGTGGGCAGTTTGGTCTGAAAGGAATAGAAGAATCTTCAGCAACAAAGCTAAGAGCATGGAGGAGATAGTACAGCAGCCGGTCAGCAAGCTGATTTCTTGGGTGGCTGTTACACCTGATTTTAAAGAACTATATGTTCCTGTATTAGTTAAGTCCACTTCGATCTGGGATCTGTAGCTTGTCCTAAAATCTGAGCAGCTACTTGTGGCTGGCTCTCTTGTTGTACTGAGTTATTTTCTGATTCAAGAAAATTATTACTTTACCTTTCAAAAAATATATATCACGAATGACTAATAGATAGGTGCAAAAAGTAATAAAAAGGAAGAAAATGAACAACCATACTACTGATGGTACAATTATAATGAAATGGGAACCTTGGACTTGTTGATTTATCAGAACACAACAAAAACAAGAAAAAAATGCCTTTTTACCACCGACCAGAAAAGTTAAATACTGATCACGAAAATGTCTTTATACCAAATGTTGTTTCAAATGCAATTTTAGAAGATAAAAATAAATCCTTAGTTTCAATATCAACTACTGAATAACTTCATGCTCATAGTAAGCATGCATAAGCTATTGTAGGAAGTTTTGTCCCATTTTCGCTCTTGTCCAAAACTATGATCACAAGAACCACAAGTCCAGAAGAGGTTGCAAGCAAATTCACATTGGCTCCCTACAGAGCACGCCCCACATGATTGGGATGTGCTGTGGAGCACATGTAGGTGTGCTATGTGGGGAGCCAATGTGAACTCATTGCAAGTATCATTAAAACAATATTAATCAGTACTAAAAAAATCATGTTACGTTCTATTTAAGAAAATTCATTTTACATAATGAATCACTAAATAGAAATTGACATGACAAAGGAGCAGTTTGATAACAGCTGAAGTGGCTGAGCTGAAATGACTTATTGCTTTGTTATTTAAGTAAGTTGCAAGCTCCTTTGGGCTGAAGCTCAAGTTGGATTAATTGCTATACCTCAAACATGTTATTATATAATTATTTTATCCACTGGTGGATAAAACAATAAATCATTCTGTTCAGACACTACAGCCACTACCAAATGACCCCTAAGACAGGTAAACAAAATGCACAAAAAGGTACACATCACTGTCCCTTAGATGGCAGCAAAAGGGAAATCATACCATTGACTTCTACAGAGCATTCATTTCTCTTTTGTAATTCTTCCTTAAGTTTCGAAATATCTTCTTGGGCTAAACGGAGTTCATATTCACTGACTGCCAATTTTTCTTCAATAGTTTCTTTCTCTTCCAGTAAACACTGAGGATCGGCAACTGTTTCCATGAAAAAAAAAATTATTTTGCTTATAAATCCAAGTCTGATGGACATAAGGGAAAAAAGCAGGAATAATACCCAATTAGTTGAACATTGAGGAGCTTATATATAAGAAAATGAGTAACTCTAAGCTGGTCCCTAGGACCATGATTAGGTGATCTAGATTTCACAATCTACAATCCTTTCAAAATCTAGCCACATGGTGGACAGATAGAGCTCCTCTTGGAGATATTTATTTTCCCATATGTATCAACAGTTTATAAAATATAGGTGCATGCAGTAAAAATGAGACATAAACCATTAGCCTATAGAATTAATGAGAGTCCACGATGTGTTGTATAGGTAACAGAAAAAAGTATATATAATGATGGATAAGTATGGATACATGTAGATGTTAATAATCATTCAGGAAAACAAATAAACAAGACAAAAGTGTTGTAAGTAGGAATTGAGTGACTTGCTAACAAGGCACTCTGCATTTTTCACTTGATACATTAAGATCATTTTCTTCTGTTATTCCACTTCCGTTCTATATTCATAGAACTTCTTTGGTCCATGGCTGATCAGAAAAAAGAAAGTTATTTTTTTCTCTCTCATGTAATGTTAAAGATAGTTTTGTAGTATCCTGAAGCAGAAAGATATCCTGCTGAGGTGACTCTTTTTTGATGAGTAAAACAAAGTGTTAGCAAGTACTTAAACAAATAAAAAAGAGCATAATTGGAACCTAAAATGCCAATATATGGATATAGATACCAAAATTGACAAAGCAAACGCAAATAAATTAATTTCCTCAAAATTTAGGACATTATGTCTGTTATCATTAATTCAGGACATTAATATGGTAAAATGATACCATACCATTGCTTCTCATTTTTAACATAAAGTATCTTGTCTATATAGCATTCCATTTTATGTGGCTAATCCCACAAAAGTAAGGAGATCATTGGTTCTCAAAAGATAGAACAATCAGAAACAACAAACTCATAATCTGAAAGTATCCACATAGTATATGTGCCATACGGGAAAACTAAGCAGTTCCAAAATGTCCAGCCATCGTTGGGCGTCCATCCTCTTCAACTATAATTCAAGTTTCAATTTATTAACCTTGTATTTCCTGCATATTAGATTTGACTGATCCAATCATCCCCTAGAGCAGTAGGCTAAACTGAAATATAACTGAAGCTATGACAATAAACGAAGACATTATAAATCTAATAAGGTTTCATAATCCTAATGTAACTGATTACTTCAATGTGGCACATTTATCAATTTTGAGCATATCTGCAGCTGAGCAAATAAAGAGAACTGTCATCACATTTCAATTTCAGACCATTATATCACCAAAACTAATGGACCAAATTTCCCCCAATTCCCACCCTAATCACAGCATAGTGCATGCTAATGTTGCGATTAGAATGCACTAAATCATGCATCCTTCTAGATACACAGACTAATTAATCATCATATAACACAGCCGATCAATGTGGAAAATTTAGTAAGATCTCATTCGACAGAGTTCAATTTTCAATAATCAACGAAAAAGAGCAAGAAAAAACAAAAAGTTGAGTTACTAAGTTTGAATAAAACAAACACCTAGAATTGAAATCTTAAAGAAATCGACAAACAGTCAAGCAATAAAACCTTTGAAAATGGCTTCAGAGACTATTGAAAACGAATTAGATTCGGATCAGCTTTAAGAGAAGGAAAAGTAAGATCGAAGAGGGAGAGGAAATTCTACCTCGGAGAGTGTTGAAGCGGGAGATCTGATCTGGCGGGAACTGAGAAGTATCAGAGAAGAACTCCTTAAGCCTGATAGCCTGGGCGTCCCGGCCGTCATCGAGGAGCTCGTGAAGCAGCTCAAATGCAGTGAGTAAGTAGTTCTCTTCGAGGAGAAAATTGACAACGCAGTTGCAGAGAGATGATTTATCGACGTCCATCGTTCAAAATTGTCCAGAGTCAGATCTGCGCATACTCGATTGATATAGCTCTTCTTCAACCACACGAAGCTTTATCAATGTGCGTGAAGGCGTGAACACAGAGAGAGACGGCAGAGAAATTGAGGAGAGGCTTCTTCTCGTTCTTGCTACTTTGTTAGCTGACTTTGATTAGCGACGGTGATAGACAAGAGGCATAAGAGAAAAGAAAATGATTTCTCGTAATGACACAAGGTGAGAGCGTAAAGCGGAAGAAAAATGAGAGTGTCACCCGTAGCCCGTAGGTAAGTCACCGTGATCCAACGTAGACACAGGATAGCCACGTGGCAGATCCAAACTGTCGGCGTGAAAGGTGAAGGATTATATAATCCCTCCTCTCAATTTAAAGAAGACTCAGGACTTGGATCTGGCCCAAACAGCTGACCTATTCAGATTTCAGAAGATTAGATTTAAAATGAACGGTCCTGATCTATCATGTGACCATAAATTTGGCCACGTCAGGTACAGGTTACCCACCAGCGGGTGACTGTCAGACTTACTCTGAGGTCAGAGGGGAAAAAGGGTAGTAATTCCTAGTTTCGTACTGCGCATGGTATCAATGCTAATAGCTGCCTCGTACCAATTGAATCATTACTTCAAATCAGGGCCATTGAAAAATCATTCATCAAGATCTTGAATGTAACATGGTTGGCACGTATAGGAGGTCCCACCAAATGGAGAGGGAAGAACATGAGCGGTGAGCCATTGTGGTTTACAACGTGGGAGATGAATGTAGAGTTGGGTCCCACTGTAACAAAAGTTCCAACTTTTTGACTTTTGAGATTGTTACCGTGGGTTGTGTGAATCAAGGAAACACGATAGGAGCACAAACACATGCAAGTTATCGATTAACGATAAATATAATTATTTGAATACTAATTAAGGAAAATTTATGATGTGGAAAGATATAATATGGAAAGAGTTTTGACCTATTGGGCTTTTTTTTCTTTTGATTAATAATTAAGCACATGCGTGTTCCACGTGAGAAATGTTTCATTATATTAATTACTTTAATTTTAGATATATATCATAGTTATGATATAAATTGAAAATTAACAAAAGAAATAATATAATTAAATAACTTAAATATTTATTATTTAATTGTGACATCATGGGCTTCTTTGAAAAGTTGGATCATATATTCACCATCTATATAAGAAAATAGTTTTACTTTTGAATTAGTTTTAAATTAAGGAAAATTATAGTCGAGTTGACTCTCTAGTTAAAATTATGTTACAAGTTGGTCCATAAACCAACAAAACTCTAACAACTAGCTCTACATTTCAAATTATAAAAACTATCGCCATGTCATTGGATACTTATGTGATTGTTGCCAACATGGGACTCTTAATCCATGTTAGACACACCAAAAAGCTTATATTGAAATTTTCCTTTAATATTGGGTGATTGGAAAATAAAAAAAATGGTTTTTACTCTCTCTCTCTCTATCTCCTTTACATTCTCACTCAAAGTCATCTTTATCTACTCAACGATTATGTAATTTGAAAATAAATAAAAATGGTTTTTGGTTTCTACTTTTACGTTCTCTATATCAATTTTTCCCATTCTCTCTCTCTCTCTACCTACCGTTCTCCCTCAATCCTTTTCATTTTTTTTCTTGGTTGATCTCTCATTTTTCCTTAATTTATATTCTTCTCCCTCAGTTTCTTTCTCACTCCCTCTCTTGTTTTCTTAATTTTCTTACACACTTATATGGTATTACTTAGATCGTGTAAAATAACATGAGACCAACTTGGTATGGTTCAAAAATCATTACACCAATTTGATAAAAATTCACAATAAACTCTTGGCTATGAAATTTACAATAACTAGAGAACGATAGAGATTGAGGGAGGAGATATTGACTGAGAGGGAGAGTGAAGGAAAACAACAAAGAGAGAGAGAGAGAGGTCTTGATTTAGCTATAGACTAAAGCTGAGAGCGAAAGAGACAGAGGGAGCGAGAGATGACTATGAGAGTGAGAGAGAAGGAAGGGAGATCGAGAGACAGAGGGAGTGGGAGAGAAAATGAAAACCTATTTTCGGTATATGTTTTTTTATGTGTCCAGCATGGATTAAGAGTCCCATGTTGGCAACAGCCACATAAGCCTCCAATGACATGGTAGGGGTTTTATAATTTGAAATGTAGAGACAGTTGTTAGAGTTTCGTTGATTTTTGGACCAACCTGCAACCTAATTTTAAATGTACAATTGACTTTGACTATAATTGTCCCTTTAAATTATATATTTCATTTACATTATATAAAATATTTTTTTACTTATCACACTTAATTTTTGTTTGTCTATGATATCATTTGACTCAAACCACTAACCCACCATCTAAAAATAAAAATTGTTTGATTTCTAAGTTGACATTAAATTTTGTATTGCATTTCCATCATTGATAAAATTATTTCATATGTATAAAACTTATTTTTGTTCAATATAATGAATGCACAATATTAGAGATGTACCTAATATTTTATTTTTTATAAATATATAACATTAGATATGTGCCCAAAATTTTCTCTATCTTTTTTTTTTAATTTTTGTGATTTTTTGTATTTTCTATTACTAAAAATTTTATTATTTGACTATGACACCATTTAATTTCTAGGTAGATTTTGAATTTCACATTCCATTTTCATCATTAGTAAAAATACTTCTTATGTTTCATAGTTATTTATTTTAATTTGTTATTATTTAATTATGGTATTATTTATTAATCCATTTGACCCCAAATGGTCGAATTGCTTGCCCACCACTAGGAGGGAAGAAAATGGTTTTGTTTTCAATTTACTTTTCAAAATATTTATTTTTATACCTTTAAAATTAATATTATGTATTTAATTACAAGAATTTAATGATAAGAAAAATATATCTTAAATATAGAATTTAATGAAAAAAAAGGAAAATAGTTTTATTTCTAATTGGTTTTACATTTTGCATTCCATTTTCATCATTAATAAAAAAAACATTTCTTATTTATCATACTTATGGTTAATACCTTCTTTTGCACAAAATGGGCGTTCTGCCTCTTTTCTAAACCCCCATCTTTTGAATCTTTCTTTTGGCAATAATTTCTTACTTAGCACCACATGTGGAAAATATTCCTTTTGGTCAAGTTTCCAAATCAATTGATCTTTTTAAGAGATTCAAGGGATGGGTATATATTTGATTTATCCCATAGCTCTGATGGAATTTTTTTTGGTAGTTTTTTCTTGATCTAGCAATGATTCTCCTTAGAGATAAACTCACTTTACAATTTAGATCTTCATCGACTCTTTTGTGGTACTGGGTTAATGGGCTTGTGTTTATCTGGTTGTCTTTTTAAAAGTGGATAGATTCCCCATTTCCAATTTTCCATCATATCCAATGTTTTACCCATTATTGACTCGACCGATTGAACCATTTGAACCATCACCTGGCCAGGATTCCAGGTCCAATTCAGTCAAGACTCGTCAAATGGTCAAAAATTGTTCAACCTGGCCAGTTTGAATGTTGACCCGTTCAACCTAGTGACCAGTTTGTAGGTTGCACACTCAATGCATGCAAAACTTTCAGAGGCCATAACTTTGCACTCCAATGTCCAATTGGGGTGATTTTTTTTTTTTTTTTTTGGGGGGGGGGGGGTTGTGTAACTTTTCGAGATCTATGTGTCCTAAGGGGTTGTAGGTGCCTTGCCTCGCTATTCTTGCGAAAAAACCCTTTTTGGCCTCAAATTGTAATTTTTAATATTTTTTATAAATAAAAAAAATTAAAAACTGAATTAAAAGATATAAATTGAATATATAATAATACATAAAACATATCTAAAACATATTTAGTGAATGCCCCTTCATTCTGGAATTTTCATTGGACGTTTGCAATCCTTTTGTCTAAACATACAATGGGCATAAAAAGGGCATATATGTCCTTTACTCTCATTTTAGAAACTGCCTGCTTATAACTGTTCAAAAACTGCCCATGAATTATGAATAGTTTTGTCTTAGAGATACTGCCACGTGCAAATGCACGTATATGTTTACTAGTGCATACAAATATATAAATATATATATATATATAGATATATACATACTTAATACATATATACATTGGCGTGGCACGGTCTGAACTGTTCAACCCGACTGGTCAAACTGGTGACCTATGACCTAGAGACAAAAACGATTCAGCCTCCAAGTCAGTTTTTAAAAGATTGATCATATCCATTTCTTTAATAATTCTTTTTTATTAAGAATTCCTCTCCAAGCCCAATAACAACCATTTTTTGATGAAGTCTTCCAAAAATTATCATTTCTCAAGTATTTATTGTTGATCACCTTAACCCAAAGATTGTTTGGGAGGGAGGAATGGGGGATAAGGATTTTCCATAAATACTTTTTAAAGAAGAAATTCACTCAGAAAAGGGCTGAAAAGAATTTGTCCAAGATGTGGTACTACATGGAAAAATCTGATGTCTAAAGATAAGGAACAGATACAGTTGGAGTAGGCCTTTCTCAAGCTTCCTCACGTGTCAATAAAATGTGAGGGACTTTCTGTTGGTCTAAGGCGATTGCACTTTGTAAACTTTTCACTTTGTAGGGAGTAGGAATTGAACGTTTGACCACCCCTCCGCACATGGAGCATCCAATGATGGAGTCTTCTGCATCACTGCCAATAAAATGCATTCCACACCCTACCAACATTATGACACTGCACATTTCATGTATTCATTGAATTTGGACGAACTGAAAGGACCAATATGATATATTAGATTGGACCTGGTCTGTTCATAATGAATTTATATTGGATTGAGACAATATCTGATCCGTTGATAGAAGATAAGAATATGGGTGTTAATGGACCAGGTTTGAATTGAAACCAATCTAAATTAATAGGAATTTAAACAAATTGAACAGTCTTTAAGCCAGTTCAAAATGATCTAAAATATTCATTGGACTGGATTGGACCAGGTCCATTTATAATGGACACACATTGAACTGGACCGGATTGGACCAAATCCAGTCCAATTGACACCCCTAATAATAGGTCCCACTTTAATGATCGGCTCCACTTTGATGATAAGATGTATGGTGTAAGATGAAGTTGATAGAGTGTTGCTGTTGGAACGGATTTTATTGGCAGGAGATTCCAACTCCCAATGATGCCTGTTTATAGCATAATTGCAAATTTTGTAATACTTATTTGGCTAGCTAAGAGATCTCTTAATTTTGGTCCTGAAATTATTAAATGGTTATGTCATTACT